ATAGGGCTAAACTTTTCCCTCAGAAATCATATGTCAAAGTGGAGCCACCCTGAATAACATTTTGATGAGTCCCTTTTCCCATCTCCCATCCCCCCCCCCCCCCCCCAGTCCCAAAACGTTTCTTTTCCCAAAGAATATTTACCTACCCGCCCAACGCGTTGATCACCTTCAATAGATACAATATACTTATTAACTGGGCGGCGGGGTGCTGACGTGTGTTGGCAGCGGGGGATATCTTCCTTTTGCATAGTGTGTGTTGGGGTGGGGGGGGGGGGGGGGGGGGATGGGAGATGGGAAAAGGGACTCATCAAAATGTTATTCAGGGTGGCTCCACTTTGACATATGATTTCTGAGGGAAAAGTTTAGCCCTATTATAAACCTTCTGCTTAAAATGACACTTAGGGTGTGGCTGTTCAAAATATTATCACTACAGGCCCCTATAAATGTGCCAGCCCCAAAGGACTCTGAGAGTTGAATGTACTTCATCTTGTGAAATCCATCCTTTCATATACCAGCATAGCTTGAAAAAGTACCCCTTCTGGGTGGAGCCTCTCTGTAAAGGCGATTATAAAGAGTGCACCCCCTTTCTTTGTCAACTAACATTTTTGAGGTTTGTTTGTTAATTTTGTTCTCTGTAATTTAATAAAATTTAGCCATGTGGGGGTTTGATAACCCTTGAAGAAACCCAACAGTTTATATCTCAAGGAACAACAGGACTCAGTACATGGATGGTAATAACATGTATTGTGTTATTTTAATCAGAAAATGAAACAAAACAGTAGGCAAAGCCTGTATTACTTTAAATTCTGTCAGGATGAGATGTAAATTAAAAAAGTCATAAATTTATAAAATTGTAACAACCAAAAATATTTGGACACAAATGGGGCTCCAAGGTCCCATGTGAAGTACCTTACCACCAGTGCAGCGCTTGAAAAAAACTTGAATTCCAGCTTGTCCTTTGGGCAAGCAGCTCTCACATTCTGCTTGCCTAGGGCCACTTCTTGCTTGTCTTAGTTAATGATTTAGTTAGAAGATGATTTGCTTAGACCCTTTCCCATTAGGCTAGTGAATTTAAAAGTTACTTGCCCTGGAATAAAATCAGTTCTGCTTGTCATGGATGACTGGACAGGACTTTTTTTGAGCCCTGGTGGTGATGCCTGCCAGGTACTGGTACTGTTATGTTCTCTAGTGGTTCTTAACCCTTCAAGCCCCAATATCCACACACAAATAATTCTCCAAACTGATCTCATTGAGAGAATTTGATAAAAGTTCAAAGCATATTCAGTCTTGGACAGACAGGGTTGAATAATTTATGTTCTAAAGGAGTCAGATCAGTTGACTGTTCTGAGATGGGGTCATCTGTATCTGGGGGGTAGGGGAGGGGAGAAGAGGAAACCTTTTCTCTCCCTCCTTCTTTGCTTGTTTTGCTCTTGTTCCAACTTTCAAGACAATTTTGCAGAAATGCTTGCTAAGCAGGCTGATAGAGCTAACCAATCAATTTTTTAACACACCAGGCAGGAAAGTACCTTGCTGAGTGGGCACTGGAGAACATATCAACCTTTCAACAAAGGTGATTTCTCTTTATCGCCGTTAGAGCAAAGCAGCTTATATAAATCACTCAAAAAAATTAACATAAGTTGTTATACCACAATTATTTACACAAAAAACATGATCAATCAAGGCGCAAACATGTATTAGGATTATTGTCAACTTTTGTTTCTTATGTAAACCAATCGCGAAGTTTTGTAAGGAAGTGTAGGAAAATTTTGCTTGTCGAGGGTAGCAAGGGTAGGCAAGTGACCCTTCTGCATGGGACAATTTTTCTCGATATAAAGGGACTTCAGAAAACCTCTGGGGTATATTGTTAAGAACAAAAAATGAAACCACACTCATCGTCTCAGCTCTTTGGGGAGGATCTAAGGCCCCGGACTCAGAAGAGAAGTGGAAATTGAGCCAAGGCATTTTGGGTCTTCCATGATATAAAATTCAAATTCAAAGATTCAAAGGAGAAAGAACTTGCTGTATTTATTTTATGCCAAAACATGCTCTTGGTCAATATCAACTACGAAATAGTCAGCAGCCACTTGCTTGTTGATTCACTGTTTGGTTCTCACTTACCTGACACTTAGAAAACCTATCCTCATGATAAAAAAGTGTAGTTTTGTGAATTACTGTTAGTAACCATAAATAATTATTTAAATTGGATATTGTTCTTGACCTTTGCTTTCTTTTTCATCTTGACCTGCTCCAGGAACATCATAGAGTTGGGATGTGGCACTGGTCTGACAGGACTTGTCATTTGTTCTACAAGTTCACCTTGTCGATACATCTTTACTGACTGCCATGAAAGAGTTCTTGAAACTCTGCAATGCAATCTTGAACTGAATGGATATGTTCAAACTGTTAAATCTGGTGATAAAGAGCAAACATCATTGTCTTCTTATAGTAACAAGTTTACTGTGTGCACAAGTAATGTAGATGACATTTTGGAAACATCACAACCAGGAAAAACAAGCATAATTTGTGCTGGTTTAATAAAGGACAGTAATCAAAGAACTTTTCATGCGCATCCTGAGGTGGCCAACAGCTACAACAATCACAACCTTGAATCTGATCTTGAATCCCAGTCTCCTGCATTTCCAAACTGTAAAGCATGTGCTGTCGTTGCTGATACATGTAACATTGCTAGTGATGGTTTTGGGTTGTCTAGTAGTAAGACTGTTAACACCACAGCATGCTATTCAAGAAAATCTGCTAGTTGTCTACACTTAAACAAGGATTGTGGAAGGCACTCAGGCAGTGTTCAAGTTGAAGTTTGCAAATTGGAATGGGAAACTTTCACAAAGAGTGACCTTAAGACATTTTCTGACATTGACATCATTCTGGCTGCTGGTATGCAGGCATTGTTATTATATATATCTACAGACCTATCATGAAATAAGTAATACCTTTGATGTGAAGTATATGAAATAATTCATTTTTGAACTGTGGTTGTAGATGAAAGTGAAGAATGATCATCGCAGTAAATTTTCCAATTTAAGCAACTGGAAAGAAGAAGCCTGAAAAAAAAAATCAGGGCTTCAACGGAATTCAAACCCGTGACCCATGACCTATGTGGAGGTCACGGGCTCGAATTCCGTTGAAGCCCTGATTTTTTTCAGGCTTCTTCTTTCCAATTGCTTAAATTGGAAAATTTACTGCGATGATCATTCTTCACTTTCATCTACAACCGCAGTTCAAAAATGAATTATTTCATATACTTCACATCATTTCACTCCTCATGGGAGATATGAACTCAATAAATCGACCTCGCTCCCAATGTGTCGCTTCATAGCTCAGTTGGTAGAGCAACGCACCGGCAACGCGGAGGTCACGGGTTCGAATCCCGTTGAAGCCCTGATTTTTTTTCAGGCTTCTTTTTTCCAATTTATTATTGCTTAAATTGGAAAATTTACTGCGATGATCATTCTTCACTTTCTTAATACCTTATTGGCACTTAATTTTGTGGGTCTTTAATCACGCATTTTTTGTGATTGTAAAAGAATCACTAAATTTAAGAACCATAAATAAAAATCATCATGAAAATTTAAACAACTGAAATTTAACAGCCATAGAGAAAATTCAAATCACAGAAAAAAAATTATAGCAATACAAAACAAGAACAAAAGTTTGAAAAAGTTTACACATTAATTTTGAATAACTGCTCTTTACTGAAGGCATGGCTATTTTAAGAATTCTGTAGATGAGGTAGAGAGAAACCGTCAAATTCATCACGTTTTGTTCATGTTACTATAGATTAATCTTCTATGAGCAGGCATTGTCAGACTAGACTTGTGTCAGTGGCAGGGACATCTGGAAAAAGTCTTGGTGTACTGAGTGCCCTAAACAATGATAATTACAAGGGGGTGTTCGATTCACTATTTTAAGAGATGCCATCTTCTTTTCCCACAGATGTTGTTTATGATGTTGAGTTAATTCCATCTCTTGTGAGAAACTTGCATATTCTTTTAAGGTTTGTTTAATAGTTCTCATAAATAATCATTGTTGGCGGTGTATGTCTATCTTTGTAATTTGTTTATATTATTATTATAATTTTTTTTTTTGTTTTTTTGAGATGTTCTTGTGATCTGTTCATTATCTTGTAGCACCTGGGGGGGAAAGCCTGTGGCATACTTAGCTTCAACCATCAGAAATCCTCAAACATATGAATTCTTTATTACCCAACTTGGTAAGTGCTAAATTATTTGTGAAGAGCACTTTTCGCTTTCATATAGTTCATGGGAAGAAAACAAAGGTAATTCAACAAAATGCCAATAGTCATCATCCCTTTGATGATTAGACAGTGATTTTCACCGGCTGTTAGAGTTCCCAGAAAACCTAACCTGAAAAGACAGCTGACATTTCGCACCAACACCACTGGTTTCCCCACAAAATAATGCCTGAGGAACGAATGCAGAAATTCCATATTGATGCCTTGTCAATACCATATCTGGGTTATGCTCCTGATTGGTTGTACCATGTTGGTAATATGTTTCAACCAATCAGAGGCACTAACCAAATCTGGGTAGTGACATTTTGCAGTGAAATCAGTAATAGCATCGCAAAATATCAGCTATTTTCTCAGGCTACATCAAACCCTGACAATTCCCATTTGAGACCAAAGAAATCTTCAGTGTTGTGTTTTTCCCATGTATTTTTGTTCTCATAACCAAAGACCATGGACAGGTGTGTACGTTTTACATACAATTGTGTACGTTTTATTATGTGAAATGTGAGTAAAGCCTGACAACAGGAAACATGGTAAAAAAATAAAAAGTTGCTTGATATTAATATATTATAATTCATCTCTATTCCACAATAGCAACAGTTGATGGAATTGAATATCATTATTGTTGTTTTTCTTTTCTTTTGTTTCTTCAGGTGAGCATAACATTTGCTGGAGTGAAGAAAGTAAGCCAAGGGATAAAGTGTTTTACTATGACCACAGCTGCGAAATAAAAATTGTTAAGCTACAAATTTATCCTCCTGGAGCATATTACATGTAGCATCAAGCAGGATTGGAGTCTTCTGAGCAATTACCAACATAGCCTGCGTAGCTGGCGGGATTGTTGTGCCTGGGGTTACTTTCTTGGCAGTGGAGCTGCCACATGAAGCAAGAGCAGCAAAGCAGAAAGGGATTTTCGCTAGCCACTAGGGAAAAATTTGACTTGCTCCCAATCTTCGCCGCCAAAAAAAACTACAGCACTCACCTGCTAATCTCGCCAGCTATGAAGGCTAGTACCAACATCCATGTACAGAATGATGTGAGTCCTGGGCAATCAAACAGTGCAATGCAAAGTACATCACTGCATTCAAGTGAAAATGATACAGTAAAATTTTGCGTGTGACATGAACTCGGAGAGGGATGAATGCCTCTATTAGAAATGGGCTTGAAGTCCTAGAAGGTTGGTTGCTGAACACTGTAATTTGGCAGAAAATTATGAAGTTCTTGGGACACAAAAACAGGAACGATTCCTTTGGAAAAGGCTGTGCTGGAAGAACAAGTACCTGGGAAAAGATCATGAGGTAAGCCAAGAAGGAGATAGGAAGATTGCATCAACAAGAGGCTTGGATACACCATGAATGGGACTGAGAGATCAGCACAGAGCTGCATTGTGCCAAGTTGCCATGCATGCTGCTATGCCCTGAGGTGGATATGTGACCTTTCATTTATTTTCATTGGAGCAAATGTCAAGAAATGGACTGTGCCTCAGAACTGGAGGAGGAAGGAGAACGAAAAAAAATATTGTTCTGGGTGGTCAAAGATAGTGGTGAATAGATGGACGAAGTCATAAAGAGAAACTTAATTCAGTAACTAAATATTGATATATAGCACTTCCTCAAAATTACCACCAACCTTCAAATGAATGAAACTTTTCAATAAGCCCATGGCAGATAGAAATTTCTATCCTTAGTAACAAACACAACCCGTTCTATACACCAAAGCCGGTGAAAAAAAAATTGGGGGGTGATGACTTTAAATCTCTATTTCATGCTAAATAAGACAAATGCAGTGACTACATCAGGAGACAAGATAACTATGGAGAAAAGTGGGATTTTGTACAGAATACTTTTCATTCCTTTTGCTCTGTCATGCCTTTTTCTTTCTGTGCCTTATAAAGTGTTGTAATGCTTAAGAAAGAACAGTTTTTAGAATCAAAACTATCTCAAGTTACATGCTTTATGCCATTAAGTTGTAGCCTTTGAGTTACTGTTTTATAATAGTCGTAACATTATTTTATTTTGCAACTTTTACTAGTGCTGTGTATTTGTTATTTAAAGTGCAGAAGTTAATATAAATAAAGTGCAGGAAAAAATCAACCCTTGTATTCCTTATTGTAAATAGAAGAAGCAACCCATTGAAAACCCAAAATTTATTTCTATAGATAATAACCTTAATATTATACTTTATTTACTCCACGACTTAAGTTAAAAAATAACCTTTTATATAAGGGACTGGTCAAAAAGTATAGCGGGGGATGGGCCGGAGCAGAGAGGGGGTGAGTCATGAGGTTTTGAGCCTAGTGCAAGGGGTGGGTCGTGCAATTTTCAGCTACCCTTAGGGGGTGGGTCACCCTATTTTATTACATAAATAGGCACTAACTACTAACAAGACAGTTGACTACACTTGTTATATAAAACACAGCCAGCTGGAATTATTGCTAAAATACTCAGAAACCTCAGTGTTGTGCGAAAAAATACAAAGGGTGAAAGGCCGCACA